AGAAGAGGCGATAAGACCTATTAGCTATAAGCCTTAAACTAACCAGTATCATTCCCAAGGGGAGTATGTTGCCAAAATGAGCCACCTCCCTTCTAATTCCATACCATCATGATTGATATTAGAAATATCTTCATTATCTTGCTGCTCTTAAGATCACCCAAAGAGATTTAAAAGTTACAGCTATAAATAAAATCTCATGCTTTGCAATCATTGGCGAATTAATTTTAGAAACTTTAAAAATCTATGCAGGTATTATAGAATCTAGTATAAATTTATGTATATATAAAATAACTCAAGGTAGCTGAATATAATAAAAGCATAGAAGAATATTGTATGCTGATGGCAATAGAATTACAATAGTACACTTTGGTGGCCAACGCTTTAACTGGGTTATCAAAAATTATTATTGGAAAATTAACGAGAACAAACCTTTGTAGTTCCTTAATAGGTAGTTTTTCTAATGTTTTCAGTGTTTGGATAATTAAAGTAAACCCTTTACATGCATTTTTATAAACTGATCATACATCAGGGAAACAAGGAGAAGCTAAATCAAATCAAAATTTTGAAAACATTTGCTAAGTATCTACAGGAAACGAAAGAATAGGCACCAGTGCTAAGATACTATTTGCTGTCATTTCCATGGACTAGAGCATCTGCTATTTTGTATTGGGCGAAAGCTGCAGCCCTTCCTTTGAACTGCAAATCCTCAAAAATAAGAACTGATGAAAAAGGTCAACTAATTTGTCACCATGGAAATCCAGGCAGTTTTACACTCTTCACTTTTAAAGTTGACAAGTGTCACTGGGTTGAGGTCAGCAGTGGTATTCCAATAAGAATGTCACTGACATTCCTTATAACTAATGCACATACACACACACAAAAAAAACATTTTTTTATTAATAGAAACTCCAACATACCCTGAATCTTTTGAATTCCCCTTTACTATTAATAAACATGGGAACTTGTTCCTCAACAATGGTGCTGACGAAGATCTCCTTTTAGCTTTCACATGGCACATGGATTCTCTGGAATTAACATGACCAGAATTTATTGACCAGGGTTAAGAGAAAAGCCAGGAGATTTTCTGGATCAAGTTACCTCATAGCTAATTTTCTTCCACTTGATTTATGATGACTTATGGATAATCCCAGGATGACAGAGGGTGATATAAGCATTTGATTATTTAAGAATAATAGGTGACAATTTTTTTAATTGTCTGCTAGGGTACATGTTATAAATGCATCAGCAAGTGAATCTACCTAGGTACATCTATTGGATTTCAACTTTTTCCTTTTTTATGCTTATTATTATTATTATTTTGAATTTCAAGTCTTTCACAGAAGTTATCTTAATTGCTATCTATTCCAGATAAAATTCTGTTGAACTGAAAGCAGTTGTACTTTTATTTGATTCTTAAATGCCAGTGTATTTTGTTATTTAGAAAATCTCTATTAGGTATTGAAGGATGGTATTGAAACTGTACTGAAGGCATTCGTGAAAAACAGACTCTAGGAATTTACGGAATACCCATTGAAATGTTTCAAAAACTGATGCAGTAGTAGAAGCACTCACCCCAAAATTTCGAAGACAGCTACCTGACCAACTGATTGGAAGAGATCCCCATCAGTACTCTTTCCAAAAAAACTGACCTTACAGAATGTGGAAATTATAAAGCAATAAGATTAATATCAGATGCAAGTAATACTGTGCTGGTGATAATTGAAACATAGTTTAATTCATTTACAAAAGCAGGACCATCCCTGGTAGACTAACACGTGTCACAGGAAGACAGAACTTGAAAACAGTTTTAAAAAAAACAGGAAAGAAAAAAAAGCAAATCTCTATTAAATAAACATGTATGCAGAATTAAGCTTAGCTTCAGGGCAGCCTCATTAAATGCAAAATCTAGCTCTAATTCCACTATAGATATTCTGCAAATTCAAAGTGATAAAGAAAATATACCCAAGCAAATTTTAACATAATATATAGAAACTAATTTCATTTTTAACAGAATAAATTATTTTTAATAGGTAAGAGCCATGTAACACAAAAACTCAGGATGAAATAAAAGCTATAAATGGAAAGTCAAAGCCCCAGGCACAGCAACTGAGAGGCAGAAGAGTTAAAGGACAAGTGAGACCTTGCACTCAGTTGGCTGGGATGTGCACAGGTTCTAGAATTAACAAAAGATCAAGCAAGGCATATATGTTCACATGGACATATATACGCATGAATATCTCAAAGAATGTTGAAAATTCAATTTTTCGCATATTTGTTAACAATAATAACAACTATAGTAAGCATATACATCCCACATATCATTTAACTTTGTGGAGATACAGTCAAGGAAATGATTTTTTTTTAATTCAATATTGAAGGGCAATTTTACAACTGCTTCTATTTACATTGTAAAATTGTCTTTCTTTGATGATACTTAGGGAAAGGCATAAGTATAAGATGGTAGAGAATGTGCGTGAGGAGGCCCAATGTCCACCCACCTTCCTGACATGATCGCTGAAGACAGACGTGTGCATAAGCAAACATGGTAAAGAAAGCTGATGGTACCCGGCTATCAAAAGATATAGCATCTGGGGTCTTAAAGGCAACCAGTGCCCATCTAGCTCGGAAGCAACAAAGTCCACAGAGAAGAAGCACACAAGCCTGAGTGAACATGAGGTGCTGAAGGGATCAGGTAGCAGACACCAAAGAACAAAAATCATCATTAGGTGATCACCTTCCCCACACAAACGCTGAAGAAGAATGTGTGCATAAGTAAGTGTGGTGAAGAAGGCTGATGGTGCCCGGCTATCGAGAGATATAATGTCTGGGGTCTTAAAGGCTTGAAAGTAAACAAGTGGCCATCTAGCCCAGAAGCAACAAAGCCCACATGGAAGCAACACACCAACATGTATGATCATGAAGGGCCGAGGGGACCAGGTTTCAAGCACCAAAGGTGGGGGGAAGTAAAATCATTATCATCGTGAATGAGGGGAGCACGTGATGGGGACCCAATGCCCATCTGTAGACAACTGGACATCCCTTGCAAAGGGTTAGTGGGGAGGAGATGAGCCACTCAGGATTCGATGTAGCAATAATGAAACTCACAACCTTCCTCTAGTTCTTAAATGCTTCCTCCCCGCAACTATGATGATCCCAATTCTACCTTTCAAACCTGGTTAGACCAGAGGATGCACAGCGGTACAGATGGGAACTGGAAACACAGGGAATCCAGGACAGATGAACCTCTCAGGACCAGCGGTGAGATGGCGATACCGGGAGGGAAGGAGGGGTAGAAAGGGGGAACTGATCACAAGGATCTACATATAACCTCTCCCTGGGGGGTGGGCAACAGAAAAGTGGGTGAAGGGAAACGCTGGGCAGTGTAAGATAAGATAAAATAATAATTTATAAATTATTAAGGGTTCATGAGGGAGGGGGAATTGGGAGGGAGGGGGAGGAGAAAAAGGAAAATGAGGAGCTGATTCTAGAAACCCAGGCCGAAAGCGAATTTTGAGACTGATGAGGGCAATGAATGTATAAGTGTGGTTTACACAATTGATGTATGTATGGATTATGATAAGAGTTGTATGAGCCCCCATGAGGGAGGAGGGAGCGGGGAGGGAGGTAGTGGAAAATTGAGGACCTAATGTCGGGGGTTTAAGTGGAGAGAAAATGTTTTGAGAATTATGTACAAATGCGCTTTACACAATTGATGTGTGTATGGATTGTGATAACAGTTGTATGAGCCCCTAATAAAATGTTTTTTAAAAAAAAAGAGTTGTATGAGCCCCAATAAAATGATTTAAAAAAAGCAAAAGGTGGTAGATTAGCAGAGAAATAAGAAGACATTATTCATTCAATTACCATTATTGCTTGAGTAAACATATTCCGTTATCCAAATCAAGAAATGTTGAGATTGGAAATCAGAATGTTATTAATAATTATGCTGTGAAACTAAATATTAATTAGGCCTTTCCCCAGAAATTGGGATATATGCTGACCCTAATTATTAAACAAGTGTTAACATGTCAGGACTCCGGTGGAATAGTGGTTACCACTGGGCTGCAACCCCAAGGCCGGCAGATCGAGACCACCAGCTACTCCTTGGGAGACGGCTTTCTGCTCCCAGAAAGAGCTACCCTCGCAGAAATTCACAAGAGTGCTTCTATCCTGTCCTATAGGGCCGCTCTGAGCCGGCGTAGTTTTGATGGAAGTGACTGGGTTTTTTTGGTTCTGTTAAAATGGGATGCATAGGATTGTTTAAAGGTCAAATAGTAATAGTGATTGCTGTTTGAAACCTTCCCTATGGTGGATTATCTCCAAAAAATAGCATGAAAGCCTAAAAATTAAGAAATGTAAACTGATTTGGAGTGTAGACTGTCCTTCTCACAAAACATATTTAAACGGTTGGGAAAGAGATGGAACTTGAGCTCCCAGAGCCACAGGAAATCCCTGCTCTTTATTCAACAGTGCAATCAGCTGAGTACCCCAAGCATTCCTCATTCCAGAGCGACATCCTCATGGACCAATGTACGTGAGGAGTCATTAAAATCTTCAGTCAGAAAAGTTGTTTTATGTGCTGGTCATGTAAGGATACCTGGTTTGTGTCTAGTGTACTGAGTAAGTTTAAACGACTTCAATTCCTCAACTCTAAGTCGATGGAATTGCTGGCACAGTACTCCTTAGGCCTATTTTATAATTGTATAAAAATTAACTAATCACAGAAATACGAAGAAGACTCTTAGTTGACCATCCATGTGCTGTAGAATGACACTCCATAGAACGTTGCAGGTACTCTACCCAACAGAGTGTGCAGATATCATTGTACATGTTACCTGAAAACTAACCATAGAATCCTTTTACTTTCCACCTGAATTGTTAAAGGAATTCTAATTCACAATTTTTCTTTTGTTTTCATAGACAAAAGATCTTAAAGTCTCTCCACTAATTTCTTTAGTAAGCAGTATGTTGAAGTAAACTTGGAATAAGAACTAGGTTGAGAATTCACGTCAGCAGCACATATAGTAAAAGTAGAATGAGATAGAGAAGTTTAGCATGCCTCCTTCAAAGATGGCACATGAATTCATAAATAATTATGTATTTTAAAAGAAAAACTAGGTTCATTTCCCTCCTTCACCTATTTCTTAATTGAGCAAGACATTTAACAGTTTGCACCCTGATTTCCTAAACTACAAAATGAGGCTGATGATTTCTGGCCTCTTTAAGAAATTAGTTGAAAATTAAAATGGCACATGTATATGAATCTATGATAAACTATAAAGCTCTATACAAACATAAGGAGTCTCGATGGAACTGTTGGGTTAGCATTAGACTACTAACTATGAGATCAGTGGTTCAAACCTACCAGCAGCTCCTTGGGGGAGAGATAAGGATTTCCTCTCCTGTAAGGATTGCTAGCCTCGTGATCCCTACATGGGACTGCTGTGAGTTAGAATTTACTTGATCACAGTAAATCTAACTCATAGCGACTCTATTTATAACAGAATGAAACACTTCCCAGTCCTGCACCATCCTCAAAATTATTATGTTTGAGCCCATTGTTGGGGCTACTGTGTCAGTCCATCTCATCAAAGGTCCCCGAGTCACCGCCTGCAATGGCAGTAGGTATATACACATATAAAGGGAACTCCTGTGGCACAGCGCTTAAGTGAGTGGCTGTTAACCTAAAGGTCGGTGGTGCAAATCCCACAAATCACTTAGTGAGAAGAAGATGTGGCAGAATGCTTCTGTAAAGATTGACAGCTTTAGAAACCCTTCGGGGACGGGCAGTTCACTCTGCCCTACATGGTCTCTGTGAGTCAAATTCAACTGGATAGAAGTGGGTTTGGTTTTATACAAATATACCTTGGTTTGAAATGTTGGGAACTGGGCAGGATGAACATATTCCAAAGTATAGCCTAGATATTGTTGATAATTTCCCCATCTCTGATATTAGCTCATTTTTTCTCACTTTGTTTCCCTTCTTTAATGGAACCAAATAAGACTGATGTGCTGCACACCCATTGTTCTTTCTATACTTTCCATTAACTTTGCAACGTGTGAAGCTGGTTATTGCTCATACTTAGGGACGTTCCCCTAGTAATAAAAGTACCAGGTCCTTTAGCTTGGGTGACATTTCCTGGGTATTGGAACCCTTGATTATAGTGTTAGCGCAGTGATTATCTGTAACCGAGTGGATCCTGTGTTACTCTGAGTCTATCACAAGCCTCACTACCATAAAGTTGGATGCCTTTTGTTCTGAGAAGTCCTGGTTAACTCCCCTTCTAGTGGAAAGGTTGGAGATTCAAGTGCATCCAGATGTGCTTCAGAAAGAAGGTCTGGTTTTCTACCACCTGCACACCCATCACTGAAGATTCCCTGGAGCGCAGTTCTCCTGGGACTCCTGATGATCACTATGAATCAGACTTGACTGGACACTGGTCACTGCTGTTAGAATGGCTTTCTTTCCCAAGCACATGGAGTTAATGGAGTCGTCTGCTTATGATAAAACATTGTGTAGATGTCACGTCTTTGACACTGATAGAAATGGTGAACTTGTTACAGACAAGAGCCCCAATTCCATTTTTATGAATGGAGACACATTCTCTTTCCCTGAACCCCCCTCAAAGTAGATTTAAACAAATGCAAGACATAAAGTTGGTGTGTAGGCCTAAATTATTCAGAGACAAGATTAGGTAAAGCCTAAATATTATTATAGTTTGAACCTTTGAAACACTGAAGTGGTGTATGTCTCATATTTATATTTATTTAAAAGTACCAGTGTATAGACTTGGAAAAGTCCCCTGTTAGCAATAAATACTTTTTTATAAGCACAGAGTCAGAAGACCGCTCCAGAAGTCAGGCCAAGGCTTCCTGCACCTTTCGATCCTTTGTCAAATCCATTTCCCCCATTATTGCTCTTTCTTTTTTCCCCACTCCTCCAAATATATTTCCGTCTTTTTACAAGGTACAAATAGTTTCAAAGGTCCTTAATATCGACTCATAAAATGTTAAGAGATGGAAAGGAACTTCAGAGGGCAGTGTGTCTTCCCTCCTGCTGCATACTTTTCAGGTTAAGACATTAAAGAGCCATAGCAGTGCCATCAGGGCTCAGAGAGAGCTGTCAACATCAACAAATGAATTACAAAGTCCTACAATTTGTCAATCTGACCGGATGCGTCTTCCTTGTATGATTTTTTTCATCTCTTTCCCATCAACTAGTTAGAAATTTATAGACACATCTAGTTTTCATTTTGGCCTAACAAAAATTAACTTATAGAAATAAATGATCTGATTCACTCTTCTTTTTCTGGAAAAAGGGGTTCACCTAAATAGATACTGAGGTTTTGCCTTACACGATAGCTGTCTGTGACGTCTTGACTCTCTGCTTTTCATTTTAAATAGAAGTAGAGTCTTGCTCTGATTATTCTAACACTCAAAGCTTCAAATTAATAATGGGCTTTTTTTACCAGCTTATGTACCTGAATGTAAACACTTCAAAGGGGCTTAGAGAAATATTTTCAGGTCTAAGACAGTAAGAAAAAACTGAAAAGCATTCCTCAGTCACTCCTAAGAAAATACAGGCAGGGATCATGTGGATACATCTATAACTACATTTTACTAACAGACAGGAAGAGCAAGGAGCCAGTGGAAAATCTGGGGCTATAAATCTGATAGGAAAACAGGCTCCCACTGAATAACAGCAGTGGAATGAAAATAGTCCCATACTCCCATGTTAATGAGTGAAAGACTGGCTATCCCTTCTCATTCATGGGTTTCAGTAGTAACATGATAACAATTAATTATCAAAGTAAGCCTGCAGTTTTTGGTAATTGAGTGTGAAAAACTTCTCCAGAATCTTTTGAAGATTAATTGCACATGTTCTGGGCTACTCCACAGAGTATGTGGCTTAGAATCTTACATTTTAATTAAACGGAAGAGCGAAGTAGTCTTTTCTAAGCTGATTTAAAAGATCTTTACTAGAGCGATTTTAAGATTAAACTGATAAACATGTCACTGTTATGTTATTTGGAGACATTAGTACCAAATAACACCAAATTCCTAAAAAATAATGGTAACAGGTGCTCATATCTCAAAATTAATATGCAAATGCTATGTAAGACAATTAACCAAATGCCAAAATTGTCCTGCAGGTTATATTTGGATTCATCAGATTTTTGAGTTTTATAGCAGACAACCAGAAATGGAATCGCATCATAGACTCCACCTACACAGCCATTGCTCTTATACTGAATTAACTTTAACATGAGGGTATTTTTTAAGAAATTACAAAGGCTTCAAGTTCATTATCACTCTGGGATCTAACCTTCAGGGCTGAGCTCAGGTTGATCAGAAGAAAATCTCAAGGAGATAAAAAATGAACTTAAACTGGGGTTTTTATAACTTCTGTTTTTCTCCAATTAAAAACATTGCTGTGAATTTTAAGTCATGAAAACATCCTGGATTTTTGCAAAGTATAATTGTGCTCTAATATCAAAGTTAATTAGAAAATCTGAAAAGAAGATACTCTTTAGAAAGTTGCTAATGAGTGAGATTTCTTAACCTTCTAGTCAAATTCAAACATATCTGTTTTCATACAGAAATAATTATCCCTTCTCCCCACAAAGATAATCACGTGTTTGACTTTGACCACATGTTCAGATGGAAGCACCGTCACCTTGTTTTCTGAAGACCATTCTCTCTCATGTACACTCTTCAATGTTAGAGTCTTTACACCGAGCCTTTAGCTGTCCAAAGTTATCACTCTTAACAAAGCAAAGAAATATACATCAAACTTTTTGAGCCACTGATTCCTAAATTGCATGCCCCTCACTTCCATCCTAATACATCAGAAATCTTGAAAGACAAGTTTTCATATCTGCCTTAATTTCCTCACTAAGGATGACCTCCTAAATTTTATTGTATTTTCATTCCAACTTTATTTCTACCAACCCTGCTGTTGGCTTCTCACTTATGACCTCCTAGGCATCAAATTGTGAGTCTTCTCCCATTGTCTTACACAATTTTTATAGTCACTTATTTGGCACTGCTTCTTCATCATCTGCATTATTTAGTCCCCAAATGTTGTTTTGGAATCTCACATTTTCTCTTTCTTTACTTTGTCCTTATCATTCGCTGCCATTGAGTTATGCTGACCCACAGTGACCCTGCAGGACAGGGCAGAACTACCCCTAGGGAGTTTTGAGACTAACTCTTCAGGGAAGTAGAAGGTCTCATCTTTCTCCTACCATATGGCTTGTGTGTCCAAGTGGCAACCTTGTGCTTAACAGCCCAACGGGGAACCATCACCAGAACAATCTCAAATCAGTATGTTCAATTTGGCTTACTTATTGAACTTCAGTATTTATAATCCAAATACACACTAGATACCTTCAACTTATATTCTGGAAGCATCACAAATTCATAATATATAAGATGTAAACCCCTTTAATCTATGTTCTCTAGTTTACTCATTTTAGAACCACTATCATCTAAGTTTAAAATCTAAATGTCTTTATTCTTTGTTCCTCACATCTTATCAGAAGACATTGAGTTTAATTAATGAAGCTTCACTAATTGATTGACCACTTTATGTGTTGTGCTACTAACCACAAGGCCAGTAGTGGAAACGCACTGGGACTTCACCAGAGAAAGAGAAGGCTGTGCCCACAAGGCCTTGGAAACTCTAAGGAGCAGTTCTATAGGGTCAATATGAATAGAAGTAGATTTGTAGTAGAGTAGAT